TCTCGATAATTCATGTTAATTATAATCGTAATCATCCTCTCGAGGAACGTAACTCGCGGGGATCGCGAAAAGCTTTCCCGCTTCGGCGCGCGTTATTAACGCCGAATTCGGTGAATGAGGTTGCGTTTCCACCAATTAAAGAGCAGCGATCGTCTTGCGCAATCGAGGAGGGTGTGTCGGTAGCGATGTTACCGACTAATTAGCGTCAGTCATTAAACAGCGCCGTGATTTTCCCGCGGGAGTTCCGCAGCGGATAACACTTTTACCGCGCCCGGCTAAAGCCCGGATCGGACGCAGCGCGGATAGGACTAACCAGAGTCCGCTCGCATGGAAATCAGACTTAACCTGGACACATGGCGACATGGCGCAATCACGAGGCACGTTAGAAAAATTCTATTGCTTTGATATTTCATTTTAGAATCAGAGCAGAAAGGCACCGGCTTCTCAAATCGCCCAATCGAAATCATTGGGTCACTAATGAGGCATGTCTGTCACGCAAGATCTGGTCGGCTTTTTCACGACTCCTTCGGTGACTCATGAACACTTTCTTTTGTAACGAGATGAATTAATATTTGTTAAAATACCGTTGAAAGGGGGTATGTTACCTTTTCTCTCGCGTAAAATGGTGGAGGAAATTAATGTTCCTTTTTCTCAGGTTTTTTTTATCATTTTCGTGGAGATATCGTAACCCCTGGTTGACGCTTTGGGATATCGAAAAAGGGAAGAGGTACTTTCGAGCAAATGTTCTTTCTATTCGTCGTTTCTGATACATTTTGAAGTAGCGAAGATTTGATCTATTTTTCTTTTTTAGCTCTTTCATTGAAGGGGTTTAGATAATTATGTTTGGTGCTTTATGCCTGGTTGACGCTTTGGGATATCGAAAAAGGGAAAAAGTACTTTCGAGCAAATGTTCTTTTTATTCGTCGTTTCTGATACATTTTGAAGTAGCGAAGATTTGATCTATTTTTCTTTTTTAGCTCTTTCATTGAAGGGGTTTAGATAATTATGTTTGGGCTGTTTGAGGACTGGGGGTCGGTGCTGCTTTGTCTTTTCGAATCTCGAATGGCGATTCGCCCACGAATGGACGGAAAATAGCTCGCCGTGATAAAACTCCACCCGACGTTGCTGACCATAATAGAAACTGATACTCGCCCACGATGAGAAGAAAATTTATTCCCTCGGGTTAACCCACTAAACTCTCGGCCGGCTTAGAGACTATTTTCCGTGTCCGCGGTATCGGCATTTATATAATAAAATAAATAAAACGACCGCGAGGCCTATGAGCCGGTGATTTTATCTGCGCCTGTTCCCCAAAGGTGATAGGCTGATGTATATGTTTACATGAACCGCATTACATACTTACGTGCATTTACGAGAGAAAGGGGTGAACGCTCGGTTAAAGTTCTTGGTCGGTAAAGTCAACATCCGGGACTTTTGGCCATAAACTATATTAAGTAATTTATTTAAATAGCTCCACGATTTTCGTGCGGAACTGCAGAATTGCACGACTTTCTCTCCCTCTCTCGGCCAAAAATATGGAAAGGTGACTGAAATTATAAATTCTACGTTCCAGAGGAGAAACTCAAAAGATCTGAATATAATAATAATTTGAAGTACATCGCCGTGACGGTCCTTGAATTTGATATTATTATATATAACAAAGAAAATATTATATAACAAATCCCTTAACCATCGACGTAGATCCCGAGATTATTCTTTAAAAAATTTCACTTTTTTGCTGGACTTTCTGATATTCTTACCGAGATTTGTATATGTTCATTCAAAGAAAATGCCAAAACTATATACACGGAATATTTCTCTCCTTTAATCGTTTAGACTGCATGAAACCTAATGAAATGATTCAATGTTTGCAATGTCATAGCGAAGTAGCCAAACGGGTCAGTGAATTTTATTTCATTTACACGTACACACAAGGCTGACCCGTTGTGTAAAATACACATTAGGAATTTGAATAGTAAGAAGTCCATACTAGATAGCTGCGACGTAAAAAATGACCGTTTCATACCAATTGAAGCTTTGTAATTCTGCCGTAACGCAAATGACGTCATGGTACATTCTTCGCAATTAAACGCAATCCAGTTATAATTCAAGCTGTAACTAGGAATCACTTTACATCTAGTTTAGAACTTGTTCGATGAATGAACGGAATGTGTAAAGTGTACGTAATTATTTCAGGACTTTCCTCCTTAAAGCTTTCTAAGAAACTGGATCATTTCCACTCACTATTTAATTACTCAATTTTACAATCAACTGCAAACTTCGTGCTGCAAGTTAAGGAAATATTTGCGACGTCTCCCCCGAGGTTTAGTTCTTATTAAAATGTTCTATGGCATGGTGTGGAGGTTGTTTCTTAAACAAGATGCGAAATGCTCGTAAAATGTCAACCTGCAAATCTTTACAATGACAATTTCGACGCTAGTTAACGACGTGCAAATAATAGCACGACGTGCAAACTCGACGATTTCTCGCCGTCCGAGAATTAACTTTCCATTTTGACCCCTGAATCCTTTTTCCTTCGTACACGCCATAGCACAGAGACGGCAAGTCTTTCCTTTTCCTCTTTGCTCTCACATGGGAATTAATTAATGGGCTGGAAGGGCTATGCATGCCGGATACGCAAATCATGATTGGCCGACTCCAAACCCGTGCTCGGATCTTTGGTTCCGTAACTTTCTAGAAACATTTTCCTCGCCACAAACGGTCTAAGATCTGCACAGAGTATATTCAAATCCACGTCTCTGAAAACTCGAAAATAATCAGAAAATCTGAACAGCCCTCAAAAAGTAATTCTCCAAAGTTTCGAATTATTTCCGGTCATTTCAACATCGACCCCATTTTTACGTAATTTTCCGAGGGATAAATAGCCAACCGAATTGGTTAATTAAATTTCAAATGAAAACGTAATTCAATACGCGTGCAACGTGGAACTATACGTAAATAACGTGTGTAGATATGTGTGTGGAAAAAAATAGAACAAAGTCTGCCTTCGACAGACAATTTCCACTTGGGGATCTTGAAGTAAAACATTCCGTTCCCGCGAATGTGTCAATGTTCCCCTAGACCGGACGAAACACATTAAGCTCCATCCACAACACGCTCCAATGATTCCAATTTTTTCAACATCAATCCAGCAAGGTTGTCGTGCACTTTCATTTCTTCATGACGCGTCATCGAGCGTAAACATGTAAGCGTAAGCAACGGTAAAGCCAATCCGCGCGTGATTAATTTCGAAGGTTTGGGAAATCATTGCGAATACCTCGGAGACATTCTCTCGAGTTTAATAACACAAGGAGACGTCGAGATTAACAGTAATCTTTTCAAATTGCATAAGATCTTGCGAAATAGTACAAATGATTAGATAAACAAGAATCATTTTAGCGATAAGATTAATTGTCGAGCATGAACTATACATGAAACTTGTTTCAACGTAAACAATGTGAAGTTTTTCAATTATACAGTTCTAATAGAAAATAAAGAAATTTGTAATTATCAACTCTACAGCTCTTAGAAAGTATTATCTCCCTTGTGAGAGAGCTTCAAGATGACGAGGCTCCGAAAGCTCTCTTTCTCTTCGGGGTAAACCTTAACCTAAACCTTTTTATCGTTCAGCCAAAGTAGTTTTGAGAGATACCAAAGACAACGGATTCGCGGATTATGCACACCGGAGGAGCAAGAAAGTGCTCGGTAATTGGAAAAAATCCTCTATTTCGAGGCGTCGTCCGTTCCGTAATTCAAATCGTGCCACCCGGACTTAATTGCGAAAGGGGCGAACGAATAATTAGAAAGCCAGCCAAAATGCTCCTCCGATAATGAATGAAAATCCCCGCGAATCGACGCTAATTTCGTATCGATTCCCTGCAGGCGAATTCCACCAACGCTAAATGCAGTTTCTAATCTAACCACTGAAAGATTAAACGTGGATTAAACTTTATTGATCCACGGACGTCTCTTGAATTTGTCAGTGGCCTATTTTCGCGACCCGAAGCGCCGCTTGAACTTTCGGAGCTTCGTAAAATAGAACCGGTAATAAATGACGGACGGACTCAATTGACGGCCACTAATTTAATAAAAGTGGAAAATGTCAGTTATTCAGGGAATTCCTGATGTAGATATTGCATTTATTCGAGCTGCAACTCGGCATTTGCTATGATTCCACATCTACCTTAAAATACCGTCAAAAAAGCCACTGCACTCATTCCATAATCATTGCAAATTCTAAAAGGAGGATATCCACGATAAATTAAATTATTCCCATGCCGAACTATCTCATTCCCGATAAACGAAGCAAGGAACGTAAAAATCCCCCGTTTCCCTGAACGATAATAAAATAAATGCTGCATATAAAAAAAATACAATCGCGCTATCGACCACGTATACCCAAACCCATCACCAAGAATTAGCATTAGACCAGCTCCGAGTTTCGTGATTTCTCCGTTGCAAAATTTAGTCACGTTCCGAGCGGAATTTAAAGCGAATCCTGCTTCCGAAGTCCGATCGATGAATGCTCGAAAGCGATTAGCCCCGTCGTACTTTCAGGAAAAATGTGAAAATCCGAAAATCCAGCTGCAGCCCAGGTGCAAGCCCGAACAAAGAAAGGGACTCGACAAATGTCAGAGCACACCGGGACTAATCAGGAAACAAAGAAGGGATCCTTTCGAATCGGCAGGCACACGGCAATCGATCTAGTTACAGGAAGAAGTACAGAGGCATATAATGCAGCCGGAGAATGGGGTTGCGCAACCGATCGTGCGATCGCGCGCCGTGGGATTGGCCGCCATCTTGGCAGCGGACACGATAGATCCGCTCGGAAGGATCTTTGCGATCGTTTAGGGATCCTTAGGATAGGCAGACAGACATATGCGGGAAGAGGAGGAGAGACAAAGGCCACGAGAGAAAATGACTCGTCGCTTCCTTCCCTCCTGTGCCGACTTCCTACTCGGCGCCACAATTTCTTCGGTACGCTCGAGTTCGCCCGGGCGACGGCGAAGGTGCACCGAGTCTCTCTATAAAAGCGAGGGTACACCTCGGAGATTCAGTGTGCTCACTGTCGACCAACATGTACAGCACCGACAAGCTGAAAGTGAGTAAGAGAGTGGCCGTTCGGTTGGTATTCCTCGCCTCACCCATACCTACTTACCTACCATGGCACGCCAAAGTGCATCCGGTGCCTTGGATCGCGAACCTTACAAAAACGAGCCCGTTTTCGATCCCGAGACCCACTAGATTCTCGGAAATAGAGATTTCGAGTCCTCTGATAGGTCTCCATCGATATTCGGAGGCTGCGAGTTCCTCCTATCTCGGAGGGCACCTTAAAACGAAGGTTCTTCTCTCCGTGAACCGATAACACGCCGTATTGCACTTTTTCCAAAGAGGGATAGAATCCGTTTTATCTCATTCCGGGGAAATTATTGACGAGAAACTGGAATTGCATTTCCGCGGTCTCTTTATCGACATACTTTAAATAACGTTCAGAGAATAACTCGACCAATTGAAGGAAAGTCAAGATATGGCTACGTAATTACGTTTTACTTTATATTAAAATGTAATTAGACTTTATGTTGAAATTTATTGAAACTAAACTTTATTGACTTCAACATTCACAAAGCCAAAGACCATGAAACAACTATACGTATGATGGTGAAATAACAGTACATATTTTCTTACGGCATCTCGGATCGCTGGAAAAACATGCACGGTCATGTGGGACATCGGTTATCTTTTCATTATCGATGAAATGAAAACGAACCGCGTTATCCGGCGTTTCAGTTTTATCACCATAAAATTCCACTAAGAAATACGTCGCGAGTTCTCCATATCATGAATACTAAAGTACACGGTGTATCCACTTTCTATTTCAAAAGCGACCGATAACTGACTCTAACGTGCCGCCTCTTTGCACGAAACGAAACCAATGCCTTCGTCTCACGCATAACGCTTATTAACCTCTCACCGTCGGATAAATTATTCAAAAGTAACAAATTCTGTCAAACTTTGACCTTCCCCTCCAACCCATGGCCGCGATCCCAAAATTCCGCCTATTCATCGACATCGACAAAATTTCGGAGACATCCAAGTTTTCCGAATCCTTTCTTAAAAAAAAAAAGAAAAAGTATTTCCGATATCTAACGAACAAACATTGCCTTGACTCGAAGGTGATCCTACTCTGCGGTCTGGTGACGTTGGTCATCGCCGAGGAGCCAAAAAAAGAGGCAGCAGCAGCAGCCCCGGAGGACAAGGAGAAGTCCAAGCGAGGTCTGGAGCTTAGCCTGGGCGACCATGGTGGTTTCGGAGGCGGCTACGGGGGCGGCTACGGCGGCGGCTACGGCGGCGGCTACGGCGGCGGCTTAGGAGGCGGCTTCGGGGGTGGCGGCGGCGGCGATCTCATCAGCACCGAGCACATCCCCGCGGTGACCATCACCAAGACCGTGCACGTCCCCCAACCATACCCGGTGACCGTCGAGAAGCACGTGCCCTACCCCGTGAAGGTACCCGTGAAGGTGCCAGTGGAGCGACCCTACCCCGTCCACGTCCCTCAGCCCTACCCGGTGACGGTGGAGAAGCACATTCCCTACACCGTGGAGAAACATGTGCCCTACCCCGTCAAAGTGCCCGTCAAGGTACCCGTGAAGGTGCCCTATGAGGTCAAGGTTCCCGTGAAGGTGCCCTACACGGTCGCCAAGCCCGTGCCCTACCCCGTGAAGGTGCCCGTCGTCGTCAAGGAGCCCTACCCGGTGGTCGTCAAGAGCCAGCACGAGGACCTGGGCGGATACGGAGGTGGATACGGAGGTGGATACGGAGGTGGACACGGAGGTGGATACGGAGGCTTCGAGGGTGGCTTCGAGCTGGGAGGATTCGGTGGCTACGGCCATCACTGAGTGACCGAGTACCTGCAGCCCTAAGAAATCTCTCGTCGCGCCCCCGCGCGAAGGCGCGGGACCAGCAGGAGACCCGGGGACGAATCTCCCCGATGACGACGCTCCTTGCGATAAGGACGATCGGCGCTCGATCGCGTCGCGGGTCCCGCAGTGGACGCGCGACTCGTGTGATCCTCTCGAACGTATTATACCAGCTCTTTGTAAATGAATAAAAGATTGTTTTTTAATAAGCGCAGGAACTTGCACGGCGTCCTCTATCGGATACACCGGTGAATTCGGAAACCGGATGACCACGGGATAATTAGATTTTTATTCGACGAAGAGATGCACCGCGTATCTCTGGCGTTAGATTAGGAACACCTTCTGGTACGAGTTCATCTCGGGCATATAGACCTCGTTGCGAAATCGATTAGAGAGTACTCGATGTGTCGCAACGGATTTTATGGCGACCCAAGCGGTGCCGGGCCCGAAGTATCCAATCCTTTCGACGCTCGTATATCCATCTCGGGAAGAAGTTAAGTGCGTGTCTTCTGATCTTGCCACCTTATTAACCCCGAATATCGAGCCGCGCGGGATAGGGCAACCCTCGGCTCCGGCGGCAATATCGAACCTCTCGTTGCCGCTTTTTTCGCGGGTCGCTCGTAATTTTAGACATCGATTATCAAAGCTAATAACGCTCCTCGGCGTGCCCCGCTTCACGAGTGGTTTCGTAATTCCTCGAAGGGGAAAAAACCAAACCGGAGAGATCTCGGTCCCGCGCGTCGGGTCGGGACTCGACGGCGGACATTTCGGAATCCATTTTTCCAAAGCGCCGCAGAAAGGCTCGGCACGGTAATCGCTGAAAAAAGAGAGGTCGCGGTCTAATTGAAATCGGTATTCCGTGTCCTATCGAGCGGCACGCGACGTGGCAAATTACCCTCGGAAAAATGGCACCTTCGGCCAGCGCCACCTCGCCCGTTTTCCCGGACGGCCCCACCGTTGCGAAAAGTCGCGTTGCGAAACCGAAAGCTCCAAGGCAATCCAGCGCGCAAAAGGGGACGCGGCAAGACCGGATCCGGATACGACTTTCGAGATGGCAATCTCGACGGAGGCCACTCGTTACCGCACAGCGCAACCCGGCGATCGTTGGTCTCTTCGGGAGCCGATCCTGAATTCGCGATTCCGCTCCCAGGATCGGCGACCCGGATCGACCTGGACGTTTGGAAAGATCGGACTGCCCACGGACACCTTCCTCGACGGGGAACTTTCCTAAGCGCCGGGGAGGATGTCGGAGGCCGAGAAAGCGGCCACGCCGGAAGGAGCGAGGCCACTTTCCGCGCGGTTACGTATAACCGGTATACTCCCAGGGAGAGTTACCGACCGGCCACGTAATGTCCAGCCGGATCCGTTTGGCGAACGCATCTCGCCGGCCCCGGAAAGGATCCCTCGATGCCCGTCTTGCAGCGCAGGTGCTTTCTCCCGGCGAGCCCAGAAAATGACACTTTTTACCTGCCGCCTCCACTCCCAGCTGCCTATGACGAAACTGGGAACGAAAGCGAGGATAACGGGAAGAAAATGGTCATTGTCTCGTATCGACTCGAGGCTCCCCTTTGTCGCGGCTGGGACGAGAATTCGGAATTGCAAATTCGCTCCCTGGTAGACGGAAAATTGCCCTCGATATCTCGCGACCGACGTCGCGATTAGGCTGACGGATGTGTCCGATGGGCAAATGGAATTGGGTCGGTGGAAATCCGAGTATACGCGAATGTCTGGTAGTTTCTCTCCGGGTTGGTACCTCGTCTCGGCCTATCCGGTCGAATCGCATGTTGCGGCATTAATTAAAATTTCGCGAAAGCAGCTGCGGACCCTGAGTTCATGAGTAAGGGCGGATGGAATGCCGGATTTTTCAGTACCGGCTGTACGTTCTCTCGGGAAACGAGAAATTGGACGTTTAGGTTTTTCGCGCGCGCGCAATTGGCGCGTGCATTAATGCCGATCGGGACAACATTCGGAGCATGTCTCGATCGCCGGATTAGTGGTTGGCAAACCTCGAGCTATTTCACAGTCGATGAGATACGTAATCATATTTAATGAAATAGGAAGTCGGAGAGGGACGACGACTGTCGAGTCCGAGGTGGGAGAGATTTTCTCGATTGGCCTCAAGTCGCAGGTGCGCCCCTCTCTCCCTCTCTCCCTCTCCGCTCCTTCTCAGGAGCAGGATGCAAATCCTGTACTTATGCACTTTTACGGGGCCCTCGCTCGATTGCACAGCACGTTTCCTTTCATTCGCTCCCTCGGATGGCGAGCGATCCCGACTTTATCGCCTCTTTTACGAAATCTATCCTGCGTACGAGACTGCACGCGCGTATTCGCGGCTCCCACTTATCGACCCTAGCCAAGAATTCCATAACTCTGGGATATACGTGTGCGTAATACTTGCGCGTACGCAACTTCGAAGGAAATGCCATGAGAACGATCGGAACCTACTTGCGCATTGGCGGGACGGACGGCCTCCATTATGAGGAACCATGCTCCTGTACATTTTTTCGATTTTATAAGAGATTTCGTTGATCTTAAGGTGAAGTGAAACACGTCGAGGAACTTGATCGACGTCGATAAAGAAGATTTTTCCAAATACCTTTGTTGCCGACGTTCGTTTTTATATTGACAACTGTGTCGAATTATATTGGGTATTGTACCAAATGGCATACTCCACCTGTCGTTTTCGTACAATAATTATAAAGAAATCGAAGTAAAGCTCCAGAAATCCTCTGCATTCATGCTTTCTGGGGCCCTAATTGACTGCAGAGGGACCCCCTGCGCCATCTGTGATTTCCAGGTCAATTAAATTTTCACTCCGAGACCTCGTATTCCCATCGTTTTAGCATAGAAGCGCATACAACACTTTTTCTGCCTTTATCCCGTTCAAATGCGAGTTTATCGATTACCAGAGTGTTCTAAATTGTCGTAAAATTGTCCCGACCCTGTTGATTCTCATATCAGAGCCTTCGATAATTGTATATCGTCGAAATATGAGAACTCGACGCCATTTTGGTTCTAGTTTGGGCTTAGTTAAAATATTTTTCGAAAAAATCCAAATTTGAATGTGTCAGGACAATTCTTAGATGATCAGGAGTGATGTGTCAAAGTTTCGGACAGTTTGGTCTAATACCCTTAAAAAAAAAGTGTTGTATTCGAATCGTCTGATTTGAAGGGGGTTTCACTTCACCTTAAGATGATGTGAAAGTGGCGTCAAAGAGATGTCGTTGATGAAACTGGTTTCCGAACTGGATCCAGCGAATCGTTTAAAACTTAAAAATGCAAATGAGGAGGCTATAACGAAGATCCTGATACCCATGAAATTTCAATTCTTTAAAAATTTGTTCATGGAAAGTTTAAAAATTGTTTATAAAAGATGACATTTCACGGGTGTCAGTACCTTCCATATAGTTTTCGTATTCATGGTTGTAAAGTTTGAAACGATCCGGTACACCCAGTTCAGCGAGAAGTTTCATGAATGATTCAGATACCACTTTCACATCCCCTTAATGTCTGCCAATATATCAAATTTGAGATTTAGATAATAGTTATCGGTACCAAAATAATGATGTTCCCAATCGTATATATTCTCACTTGGAAAGAAATATGAGTGCAAGAGATGGGGATGTATTAACGATTGCATGTCACCGTTAATGTATTTTGTACACGATATGTATTATGTTAGTATTATATTTTTGTACGCATAATTTGAAAGACACGCGTGAATTTGTAAACGGAGATTATGTAATATGCTTGGTTTTCTGTTCTATCTCGTTAAGACCGGTGCTGCATCTTTTATGTTGATTTATGGAGGATTATATTGTAACAATCTGGCGGGAATTAAAGCATGTTACATTTTTTAACTTAGCCCAGACCAGAACCAAAATGGCGTCGAGCTCTCATATTTCGATCGATATACAATTATCGAAGGCTCTGATATGAGAATTGAAAGGGTCCGGACAATTTTATGACAATTTAGAACACTCTGATAATCGATAAACTCGCATTTGAACGGGATAAAGGCGGAAAAGTGTTGTATGCGCTTCTATGCTAAAACGATGGGAATACGAGGTCTCGGAGTGAAAATTTAATTGACCTGGAAATCACAGATGGCGCAGGGGGTCCCTCTGCAGTCAATTAGGGCCCCAGAAAGCATGAATGCAGAGGATTTCTGGAGCTTTACTTCGATTTCTTTATAATTATTGTACGAAAACGACAGGTAGAGTATGCCATTTGGTACAATACCCAATATAATTCGACACAATTGTCAATATAAAAACGAACGTCGGCAACAAAGGTATTTGGAAAAATCTTCTTTATCGACGTCGATCAAGTTGCTCGACTTGTTTCACTTCACCTTAAAGTTCTCGAACAATTTCCGATATGTTTTCTTTTAATACTTTCAAGGAAACTTTCCGAAGCCTAAGTCCAGTGGCTCCTTTAAAGGATCTGGCCTGGAGTCTGAGACCACTTTCATGCCGCAGTTTGCAGCGGCCTAATTAAATGCAGGGCAGTAAAGCGACTTCCTGATACGCCGATCAAAATCCCAAGTTCTGCGGACGCATTACAGCGTTAACGTCGGTGCGTTAACGCATCCGTTAAAAAATCGGGTAATTCGTCTCGAGTGTAAACTCGTCATGGTTCGTTGATCCGCGCAAAGGGGACCGAAACACGGCTTGATCTAAGTGCCATAATTCATTTCGCAGTGGCTAAGTGCGTCGATTGCAAGATCGAAACGCAGGCCACTTACGCAAGAATGCCACGAGATGCCGGAGAGAGGTTTACGGAGAGAAAGAGGGTATTCCTCGACATGCGTAGCAAAATGTGCCTCGGCTATTTTTCTGCCTACAAGGTGCACTTAATGTACTCGGAAAAGTAGAGTGCCCCGCTCCGGGGAAAAGGACAGTCTTCGTTATTGTACCGCGCAAGTGCACTTCTGACAAGTACTCGTGCATCGGACCGATTACGTCGTTTAGCCGTGC